CAAGCGCAAATGGCGCCATGGCGCCACCTTTTGAAATGGAGAAGGGATTTTCAAAAAAGAAAATACGATTTCCCACACTTAACTAAATATCACAATATTTTCTTCAAACAAATCTCTTATTCAGTATTCATCCCTAAGTACGCCAGTCTTTAGTAAAGGTGTCTATAATAAGGGCTAGTGGGAAGAGGGCGGGTAAGCCTCCCGTTGCCGGACGCAAAGATCTCCCCGCGTCTTACGTCTAACGTCACCGAGGGCGCCACTTGAAACAGTGTCTCTGCCTGAACCCATCTGGGTGTTCATTGTTTAGGTGTGAAGTCTGGTCAAAATAATTTAAAATGATCTATAAACTATTTAATTCAATCAGTTGAAGACAGGGTTTTCTTTCCAAGAATAGCAAAAAAAGACGCAAGAGATATCACCAAGAACATAGCCAAAAATCCTACAACAGGTACTCCCATCACACTTAGAGATTGTACTGTTGGGCCAAAGGACTAAGATGGATTTGCCGCCTGTATGGTAGGGAGGGGGTGGAGTGGTAGTTAGCCTGGACATGGCATGATTGCGAACTGTCTAAAAATAGGTTTGACTGTCTGCTTTCTAGAAACCAGATCTGCAAGTGAATCAGGGAATGGGGTCATTATGTCAAGACGCCTCGAGGGCAATAGTGCATGCGTGTTCTTGATGACTGTGAATGAGTGCTTTTCTGTTGATCTGAGGGAAGTTATTGTTTTGTGTGTGATCATGATCCGATGTGATTGTGCGCATCTTGAGCGCTGAACTTGGTTCTTTATCATCAGATCTCTCTCTATGTATAAATAAAAAATTGTACCGGCTCTTCTCTATTCTTCTCGCATGGAAGAAGGTGTCCCTGTTAGTATTAAAATTAAACGAAGAGGTGTATATAGTAGGTCTATAGTTAAAAGGCCTGTAATAAATTGTTGGCAATACTATTCGATGTGCGTCCATTTTTTCTTGGCGCCACCTTCTCTGGAAGTGACGCCACGCTCCTGGTGAAGTGAATAGAGTTTGCTGTTGATAGGGGATTGGCGCTATACAAATGCTATCTATTATTTATCTACTCAGGTTCACAACATTCGAGACACCGGCAGGACTTGGGAGACGATGGTCTGCGAAGAAGAGCTCTCCGGAGTGTGCAAACACGTGCTCTGTGGTAGATACATTTGGAAGTTGGCGAACGGAAAATGTATCAACAGACTTTCAGTATCCGTCAGAGTGACGCACCCACCTGAAGGACTTCTTTCAGAGCTGGAACTAGAGACCTTTGCAGGATATTTACTTTGTAGAGTGAGGCGTCCCCCAAACGTTGTCTCCGCTAATGTAGAACAGATCCTTCCTATCGACCAGAATCCAACAGAACTGTTTACTGGGAGACGATCAAGGCTGGTAGGGGATATCTTTGTGTCTGAAAGAGAGCAGCTGTTCAGAATCGATTTGATCATATCCTTCACGGGCTTGGGGACGACTGTATTCTCAGATAAAACAATTGGTAGCTTTGTGGCGTCTTATTATATAGAGTACTTCGGTGTTGCAGGTCAAAAGTATTTGACATTTCCGCCTATTTTAACAACTGCGTCTAAGTCTACGAAGAGGGCACATGCCGGTGGCCCAAACAAGAAATGTATCGAGCACCAAACTTCTGGGAACAATTCAGCTTCAACGAATGAAACGTCACGAACCGCTGAAGAATTGCGGAATAGCAGCAAAAACAGTTTAGCTAGTACTGAGCGGAAAGATGAAAACTGTACTTACAGAATACGAAAGAGCCTGAATGACTCTGCTGTCATAACCAGTGATGCGGAGAATGGCATACCAAAAGTAGATACGTCACCGGTTACCACAGTCGCATCATTTACAAACGACGACGTCTCCAAGATTTTGCCCTCCAGCGGCCTGCAGAATGCAACTCCTTCTATGCAGAGTGCTTTTCAGGGTGTGCCACTTCAACAGTCTGATATATCGACGGTACCAGCTCAAGTTTTATCGACTGGTCAATTGATAGAAGACGGACAGAAGAATTATATTTTTTATCTTTACTTCTCACTCAACACAACTTTTCACTTACCAACGTGGTCGACAGGCAAACCAATAGTTATCTTACGGGACAGGTCGCACCTACAGTTCAGTAACTGCTCTGCGAGTATCAAACCCGTCATGAAATCTGGAGTGGAGGCGGTAGCGAATCTTGACAGGTTGTTGGCATTTATTTTAGTTCTATTTCATGTTATCTGTCTCATTTTGTATGGTCACTAGTTTGTACGTCTTATTACGACATATCTCTTATTATTCAGCTCTCGATAATACGGTGTGTACATGAAGGCTGCAAAAATGATGGTAGAAAACGCGGGGGGTGGGGGGGGGGGGGGATTGTACAGTCAAAACGTGTTGATTTTTAGAAGTCTTTATTTGGAACCTCATATCACCAGAGTCTGTTGTTTAAGCGCTTCGCTGTCGCAAGCAGGAGACCCGAGTTCGGTTCCTAAGTTGGGAGAATTTTTATCGAGTATCTCAGTTTTCTGCCAGGGGATTGTAAATGTATCTCTCTCAGCCCAGGTTAGCCCTGACAGTCAGAGTCGAAAGCCCGTCTGCTAAACGATCTAAATGTTGTAGATGGGCGCACAAGTGTACCTAGACCTTTTTAAGTGTTGTTCAATTTTCTAGTCAAACAACGGTAACTGTGATTATATCTACTATTCGAATACACAGTTGTCATTACAGTCTTCAAGTTTGCTTTTGAGTTTGGAACGCTGACGTTGTTGTTTATGACTCAAATAGACAAGACAAGATTTTTTTGTTTGACAACGATCTTCACTTCTTTGTTGTCAATTTCGTAGCCGCGTTGTCTTTATATATTGTGATGTTTACACGTGTTTAAGATAGAGGTTGATGAAACTATTAAATTCTAAACGTAAATATGATGGTTGTGTATTCTTGACGCTGACATCCCAAAGGAGCTCTCAGAGTTGATGGCTTGTAGAGCTTGAAATACTCCTTCATCAGCCTGGTATAGGTCAAAAGCATCTATTTATCAAGCTTTTCAATTCAGTTCACAGCTTCAGCCCCCCCCCCTTTCCCCCTCCCCCATATTAATAACTTCTTCTTTTGCTTACGACGTTATAGCTACTCCCATGTTGACTTTACAGAGAGTGGACACCTGGATGTGCATAGTACGTCACATATTATGTTTTTACATGGAGGGCTGGTGTTTACCTTTACTTACATAACGCCCCTGGAATGCACACTTGCTGTCGCTTCCGTGAATTTTGAACAAAAAAGTCCGCACACCATTTTGGCCATCCTTCAGCTTCTCCTTTCCTCCAAACTTACAGAGAGTTGAGGTGTTGCAGGAATGTTCTAATTTCCTTTAAAAATGTAAATGATTTTACGTCTCCAATGGCACAATTTAGATAATATACGAGGCGGGCTTCCGATCCCGCCTGTCAAAACCAACCCGGATTGTTGAGAAAGAAACTGGCCCATCAGAAAGACCGAGGTTTTCGATTTTTTAAAATAAAAATTTCCCTCCTTTGGGATCCCACACGGGTCTCCTACTACGTATGACAGCCAGGCGCATACTCACTACATCATCGAATCTGATTTGCAGGACGGGGGTGTTGTTGATAAGCATCAACGAAAGGTACCAGCACAATAAAGTCATTCCTACAGTGCGGTCAAAAATTCGTGGCGCAACGTATCCTCAAATATCTCTTTAACAGGTCAATTAATGTCACCCATACTTTGCACAGCAGTTTGCATCAGTTTGTCTTAACTAAATCATATTTTTCCACAGCAAATGGGACTAGATTAAAGTACTTTTTTTTCATTTGTACATATTACATTTGTGAACGTTTGTCACTTTGGCCGCCTAAAACTTTCGAACCACTAAACTTTCGAATTCGACAAAATTGATGGTGGTTCAGATTCATTTAATGGGTGAGCAGTTTTATTGGGGAGCCTGCAGTCATTGTAGTTTAATTTTCAGTTTTTCATTAGTTTTGTTTAGATCTAATCTTGGGAAAATTTGTATTCTAAGACGCCATTGTAAACAAGTGAGGTTTCCGTTCATTAGCCGTGCGCACTGAAATTCTGGAGTGTACAACCACGAAAGCGGAATCGAGATTCAATCTACACATCTCTGTATGTAGAATCTATACCTTCTAATTTTTTGTATCTCAAGATTTATTTCTCCATTCCATGAGAGTGTAAATATAATAGGCCAATGACTTTCAGTTGATGTTAATGCACCGATCATTCCTTTCATTGAAAGGGGGCCCAGCTAGTAAAATTATATAAAGTACTCGAAATCTCAGTCACACGTAAAGTGGGATTAGGTCACGGCACTTTCCGCTTCTCCACACATTTTGATTGTGCATATGGCCTACTTCACAGCTACTCATCAATTACAATCTTTAGTGGCAAAACTTGTTACAAGAAATAATTTCTATAGTGAACACATTTTTTGCACTACTGTCCCAATCAGAAATACAGGACGGACTTGCTAAGCTGTAAACATTAAAAAATCTGTAGAAACCATCCACTTGGATGTTTTATTTATAGTATTTATTAAGGAATTTTCTAGAATACAGCTAGCAGATGTTTATAAAAATGTTGATCTGTTAAGACAAATTGATACACGTCATTGTGCAAAAATGGGAGAACCGTTTTTCGATAGTTAAAGAGATACTTGACAATAAGTTGCGCCACGAATATTTTACCGCACTTTTTTATAGTCACGCTTAAATTAGAAAGTTGACCAAAAACTCGAAAAACTGCTTGGAAACATGTTTAAATTGCTCGAATTTATTAGAAAGTATCTTATTGAAGGCTATAATAAATACAAATACAGCAAGATTACTTTCTGAGAGAGAGAGAGAGAGAGAGAGAGAGAGAGAGAGAGAGAGAGAGAGAGAGAGAGAGAGAGAGAGAGAGAGACAGAGAGACAGAGAGACAGAGAGACAGAGAGACAGAGAGAGAGAGAGAGAGGGGGGGGGGGCAAGGAACGGACAGAAAAGTTTGAAAAAAAAGGATGTACTAGAATATTTCCCCTCGCTGGTGAGGAGAAAATAAACAGATCTAGAATCTAGTCATGATGGAGGGGAGGTAAGAAAGTTGGGTCCTCTCGGCGACCTAGTTGTGGGTCCTGCTCTCTCGCCAGAATGAGGTGAACGGCTCAGCGTTTGCCATTCCAGCTATAACTGACGCCTCCTTGGAGGCCCCCGTTACCGTAGCTGAGGCCAGCCTTCCATGTACCTGTGGTAGACGACAATAATTTGTGTCACCACGTTGTGGAATCAGGCGTTTGTCAATTTTTTGGTATATGGGGTTATTGGTATCATCTAAAAACCTGCTCGCTTGCCTTCCTTAAGGTGAAAAAAGTATCCATCTATGTTGAATAGAAGTCAAAATATTTGCCATTGAAAAAGGTCATGGTCGCCGGGTTTCAGAGGTAACATTCGTGAGAAAATGGCAGCCAAAGTTTGATAGCCTCCATAGCCTGAGAGTCCTTGGAAACTGAACATTTACAATTGTAATGCTTTAAATCAAACTTTTTTTCAGTAAAATCCACACGAACTCTGTCTTTTCATATCGACATAAAAGGTGTTGAGCCAAAACAGAAAATTAGAAAAAGCTTGCCCATCGGCTTCCCCCCAAAATGCCGATTTTTAAAATTTCATTATTTTGACAAGCGCCTGGTTTCACCACGATGTCTTGCATTTGACAATTAGATTTGAGCGTAACCCCACCATTGAGTCACAAAGTTCTACTGCTCAGTGCTGATCTTGTTTTGAGAAATTTGACATAACTTTTTTTTTAAATTTCACATGCCAAGCTTTTTCGAATGCATTTCTTTGAATGCCTCGATAACTTCCCCGAATAATGTTACATTATTGATTGGGCAGATAGAACATTAATTATTGCTTTCCGACGTTGTGATCTAAGGAACTAGAAAACGGCCAAAAATGTCAGATAGAATTGTGTAATTCTAAGGTAGCATTATGTAAACATGGGAGTTTGATTTCAACAATGTGAAGTAATGCGGTTTCATGAGCATTCTTTTATTGTTTCCTGTGGCCATTGTTGTTATCGTGCGTAATATTGTTGTAAAAGTTGAATCAATAATGACAATTATATTATGAATGCAGCAAATCCTGTTTACATTTTTATTTCTTACCCTGTTTAAAGTTCTCTCACTCCTCAACACTCGTGACCATACGTCATAGCTAGTGACAACTATAGTTCAGGATCCCTCAAATATACATCATAATATAGACGAAATATGATATTCTTAAAATTTAACAGACCTCAACCAGGTTTTTTTTTACTCCATGGAGGGGGGAGAAGCTTTAATTTTGGCACAGTTTTAAAAATCCTCCTAAATTAAGGATATTGATTATTTCTATGTCGTGATCTGATACCACTGTATACACCTGACGAAAACAGCCAATCATATCGTAACAACGCAATACGAGGTCAGATCTTTTGTTTCCGCTCAGAATGAAATAGTTCGAATGGATTTCCGGGTAGAATTTGGTGAAGCAAAGCAGACCCCCATAATTTTCATGGGAAATTATAACTGGTTTTTTTCCGAAGCTAACTGTCGGTTTGAGTATGGTACTGCCACAGATTCAGATGTCCTTTTCACTTCCTGAAATTAACCGCAAATGGAATGAATTAATTATCCCCACAGATCAAGGTTATACTTGATATGTGCTCATGAGTGCGTTTGTATTTTGTGCATTAATCTAAATAAATGAGTGTGTAAATCTTTTATGTCTCCATGTGCGTTTGATGCACGTTTTCTGAAGAGGAGTTCTTTTTGACTACCCTATAAAACTTTCAGAAGTACACAAATAAAAAAGGACATTCTAAAAGATAACGCCAAGATGGTATTTCTTGATCTGAAAAGACTAACAAATATTACACACAGCCACACAGCCCCCC